CAGTGGATGAGAATCCTTTATTGTCACAGAGTTGAGTCCCCTGTAATCCACGCAGAATCGCCATGTGTTGTTCTTTTTCCTGACGAGGACCACTGGGGCGGACCACGGGCTACAACTCTCTTCAATTATGTCATCCTCCAACAGGCGCTGAACCTGTCTGCCTATCTCCTTCCGTTTTTCTGGCGAAGTACGGTAGGCCCGACGCTTGACCGGGGAATGATCACCTGTCTGTATGCGGTGTTTGATCAGACCGGTGTTTCCTGTTCTGCCCTTCCCAGAGCCGAACACCCCTTGGTGTTTCCCCATCAAGGCCTGCAGCTGCAGTCTCTGTTCAGCAGACAACGGGAAACCAGCCACATCCGGCAGAGGGGTAGCCCCCTGCTGAGAGGGGAAAACCTCAGCGGGGGTGAGTAGATCACAGTCCTTAACATGGTGCAACACACCTAAATGGGAACCGGTGTGCAGCTTTAACTCCTCTGTCGGGTTGAGCAGCCTTGCCACAGTGCATCCATTCTTCACCGGTGCAACTGTACGTGCAATCACAAGTCCCACGTTATCACGCACCTCAGGCTCCAGGTAGCCTAAGAAAGAGTCAATGGGCAGACCAGCAGTACGGGGAATATTCACATTAACTGGGACAATCATTTCACTGAAAGGGGGAATAATAGCATCAACAGACATAGAGATGTAACAACATTCTGGTATGAAATCTGTGGCATGCATGAGAGGAATATCAACATCCCCCAGGTGAAGCAGACCACGACCAACATCCATAACAGCTCGAGCCTGCAACATGAAATCAAACCCCAGCAGAATAGCTTGTGTTGCCCCTCGCACTACATGCACAGCCTGCTCCCAATGTTTGCCCCCCAACTGTATGGGAAGAGTCACAGTACCCAGAGTGTCCAACAATTGACCATTTACTGTGCGTGAAAAAGTGTACTGGGTATTTAGCACACGTTTACGTAAGGCAGACGTGGACATTCTGAAGTCCTCAGAAATAAGTGAAACATTGGACCCAGAGTCAATCAAAACAGTAACATCAACACCCTCAACAAGTCCTCTAACATAGGCTGTGGGCTTAGACTCACCCACAGAACAAGAGTCCAATGCACGAGCAGGCGCTTTCCCAGCAGAATAGTCCATTTGACCCTGTAGTGGTGAAACCGGCATCTGGGTCTCGACGCCAGTCACTGGAAGTTTCCCTGCAGCCGTCCGTGTGAGGATGGAGATGGTGACCGCCGAGAGGGAGACAAAAACCTCACTCCATGCCCTGGCTGACGTTCCCCAGGGCTGTGTGGTCCTTGCGGGACATCGCTGCCCGGTCGTCGCGGTGAGAAGTCCGCAGAGGTGTCTCGGGTTCCCCGCTCACGTGGAGACCATTCCCTGGCACCAAAACCATCCTGCGGTCTGCGCTGAGGAGAACGGCCCCTGCTGCGGTCGTCCCTGTGGGAATCACCGGTGGTAGATCTGCAACCAAACCCGCCACAGTCACAGTGGCAGGCACGCCGGTGCACCCTCTGCTCCACTTGGTCCTGCTGACGATCCCAGGTCAAGGCGGAGCTCCCTCTGCCATTCTCAGCTCCACGGTTATGCGCTCTCAAGCCTTTTACCTCAGTCTGTAAGTTGTCCACCTTCAAGGTGAGGCGTTCAACCACATTTATGAGCTTATCCGTGGTATTAGCCTTACAGTCGAAAACACCAGCCGACGGTGAATTTAGGGCTGCAACAACAGCAGGATGCGGAGGACAGTAGGGCAAACCAGGCGTGTTCGACCTCATTGCCTGCCTGGCCCGCTCACAACGCCCAGCAATTATCAACGCCTCCTCCATATCAGTCGCCCCCTGTTCATGGCATTTTGCTTGAAGTGCAGGATCAAGGCCAGCCAAAAAAACGTCTGAATTTCTCACCATTTACTGCAGCGCGGTCATAATCGGGAAACGCCTCAGCCACGAGTCTGGAAATGTCCGCCGCATACACCTCCAAACACTCGTTCGCCTGGCGGGCCGTGCAGATACACACGTCTGGAAATAAAGCAGGAACTGTCTCTGGCCAAAAGCTGCCGCCAGCTTCTCCTTCACACGTTCGTAATCACCCTGCACATCTGCCGGTAAACTGTCCCACAGTAGGAAAGCTGCACTGTCCAGTCTGGTAGGTAGAATGTTCAGCAAGGTAGCTGCGTAGCTCGTGCCCCTCGCACCCCTCGTCTGAGCACGAACAGCGGCTTCAAACTGTCTTATCCACGTAGCGAACTGCCTCTGGCCGTCGCCCCTAAACATCGGCGGCAGCTCCACTCTAATATCACTACTCACAGAACCAGTCCAAGCAGCAGTACATCCGTTATAATCGTCTTCCATATCGCCGTCTCCCTTCATTCCTCCGAACATGACGCTTCGACGCTAGAACCGTTAGCACAGCTAGCCAGCAGAGCCGACCAGAAAGTCCAGTAATTGTCCACAGAAAAGAAAAATCCAAGAGCAGATAAAACACACTCCGATACCGCTGCCACCAATGTAACGTCCGAGGTGTTAAGGCTTCAAGAATACTTCTGTGTAACAAGAACTCAGGAACTTAGTACTTTTTGGAGCGTCACAGATGCCTCCGTTTATTAACGTCGAGTCACACACATGTCACACACCACTCTAGCCCCGACTGCGCATGCTCACAACACATGACCTCTCAACCCAATGCTTACACTAGGATCAAAAAAGACACCAGAACAGTCGTAATTACAAGACACAAAACACCAGAGTCTGTTAATTCTTTTAAAGAAGAATTGCGTAAACAAGACTGGAACAAAGTGTATGTACCAGATGTAAATGAAGCTTATGAATCATTTCTAGATATTCTATCAGGGCTGTATGAAAAACATTGTCCTCGTGTAAAGAAAATTGTGAAACAAAAATATGCTGAAAAACCATGGATCACTAAGGGAATAGAAAATGCTTGTAAAAAGAAAAATGAATTATATAAAGACTTGTTAAAGAATAGAACAGTAGAGGCTGAACAAAAATACAAGACATACAAAAACAAATTAACAAAGATAATACGATGTAGCAAAATGGATCATTACAACAAATTATTGGAAGATAACAAAAATAATATTAAAAACACATGGAATGTATTAAATACCATTATTAAAAAAGGAAATGGAAAAGCACAGCACCCAAACAGTTTTCTGTCAAAAGACAATACAGTCATTTATGACATGACCTTAGTTGCTGAACAGTTTAATGAGTATTTTGTTAATGTTGGTCCTTGTCTAGCTGGGGAAATTCCAAATACTGGTAGTAGTGAAGGTGTAGAAAGTAAAGATATAAATGTGAAGGAAACTATATTCTTAAGAGGGACTGATGAAAATGAAATTATTGACACAGTTAAAAAACTAAAGAGTAAAAGGTCTACAGACTGTCATGATATTGACATGTATACAGTTAAAAACATTATTGAATGTATAGCCAAACCACTAACTCACATCTGTAATCAGTCAATACAAACCGGTGTATTTCCAAATAAAATGAAAACTGCTAAAGTCATACCGATACATAAATCTGGAGATAAACATGTACTGTCAAACTATAGACCAATTTCATTGCTCCCACAGTTTTCTAAAATACTGGAAAAAATCTACTATGTAAGACTAAATCACTTCTTCACCAAACATAACATACTCTATGAACAACAATATGGTTTCAGAGCAAACAGAACCACATCATTTGCAGTTATAGAATTTATGGAACACATTACTAAGGCAATAGAAAAGAAAGAATATGCAATAGGGATATTTCTGGACCTTAAAAAAGCATTTGACACGGTTGACCATGAACTATTATTAAAAAAACTACAGAGATATGGAATTAGAGGTGTTGCACTATCATGGCTATCCAGCTACCTACATAACAGGAATCAGTACGTTGAAATACAAAGTCATACATCACAACTACTATAGGTTACATGCGGGGTGCCTCAAGGCTCTGTCTTGGGGCCATTATTATTTATTCTGTATATTAACAACATATGTGAAGTATCAAAAACTGTTAAAACCATTCTTTTTGCAGATGACACAAGTCTACTCTGCTGTGGGGACAATCTAGAACAGCTATTGGTCACAATGGAAAAGGAACTGAGCAGGATGAAGATCTGGTTTGACCAAAATAAATTAACATTGAACGCAAGCAAAACCAAACTCATAATATTTGGGAATCGGTCGACCAATACAGAGAAGAAACTCACTATAAATGGCGTCCAACTAGAAAGAGTAACGGAAATAAAATTCCTTGGAATAATCATAGACAATAAATTAAGTTGGAAACCACATATAAGCTATATCAAAGCCAAAATATCCAAATCAATAGCAATTCTAAATAAAGCCAAATACCTAGTTAATCAAGCTTCCTTGTTTATGCTGTACTGCTCCTTCATACTTCCATACATGATGTATTGTGTGGAGGTTTGGGGGAACACATACAAAACAAATACACATCCTATCTTCATCCTGCAAAAAAGAGCAATACGAGTTATACACAAAACTTCGTACAGAGAACCAACAAATAAATTATTTATCAAACTAAAAACACTAAAACTACAAGACCTGGTTGACTATAAAACCATTCAAATTATGTACAAGGCCGCAAATCATCATTTGCCTCATGGTGTCCAGGGACTTTTTACACGGAGAGAAGGCATGCACATGTTGAGAGGAAACTGCATTTTCAAAAAACCACCCGTACGTACAAATGCCAAACTTCATTGCATCTCATCAAAAGGTGTTAGTCTGTGGAATAAATGTAGTGATGCACTGAAAAATTGTACAACTTTATATAAAATGAAAGTATTATTCAAGAGCCAAACCATTAGTGGTTATGAACAGTACCTGTACAAATTCCTTTTGTCATTTCCTGTAATTATAAAAGTAATTACTTCCTGATTGTTTTTGTAAAAAAAAAAAAAAAGAAAAATGATGACGATGACCTAATTACTTCATTTATACTGCAAGGAAAATGTATGCTAGAAGGGGTAGGACCAGAAAAGTTTTTTAAGCTTCTTCTTGCCCCTGTTGAACACGACAGAGACTAATTTAAGATTTATTGTTGTTGTTTCTTTTTATTTCTTTTTTTTTTTTTGCATTATCATTATTATTTATTTTATTGTACTTTGGTATAATTATTATTATTATGAGTGAGAAGGAAGAAAAGGAAGAAGCAATATATATTATTATTAGTATTGATGTATGTTTTGTTTCTGACATGTTCAATAAATTGACATAAAAAAAAAAATGGTGTGTCTTTGACCTCTGTTTGATCTTCTGTCCTCTGCAGACTCTGTCAGGCTGCTGGGGGGGACTGGTCTGTGCTCAGGCAGACTGGAGGTGAACTCTGACCAGGCTAACCCGTCCTGGTCCTCAGTGTGTGAGGCTGACTTTGACCAGCAGGATGCTCAGGTGGTCTGCCGGCAGCTGGGCTGTGGGGCTCCTTCAGTCCTCCAGGGGGCGCTCTATGGAGAAGGGGAGGCTCCAATGTGGACCAAAGAGTTCCAGTGTGGAGGCCATGAGTCTGCTCTCCTGGACTGTAGCTCAGCCTCAGAGAGAAACACCTGCTCACCTGGCACAGCTGTTAGCCTCACCTGCTCAGGTAGAGAGGAGCTGTGATTGGTTCATTCTGTTCTCATCAAACTCACTTTATTCTCTCTCTGATCACTCTCTTGTTTCTCTTCAGAGCCTGGTGGTGTTAAGCTGGTGGGAGGAGAGAGTCGCTGTGCAGGAGACCTGGAGCTGGAACATCTGGGAGAATGGAGACCAGTGCAGGGCTCTCTCTGGACCCTGAAGGCAGCAGGAGTCGTCTGCAGAGAGCTCAACTGTGGCTCTGCTGTTTCTATGGGAGAGAGATATGAGGAGTCCTCAGAGAGACCTGTGTGGGGGATCAGCTCTAACTGTGTTCAGTCTGGATCTCCTCTGAGGGAGTGTGCAGCATCAGATTCCTCTCCCTACTTCCTGACTCTCACCTGCTCAGGTAAACTTATCTGTGACATCATCAGTGACATCATCAGTGACATCATCTAAGACAGTCGTTTTAAGCAACCACAGTTCATGGGGGGGTTAACCGAGATTAAAAAGTGTCTAGAACAAATCCAGACATGATTTAAACGTCACTGAACATTCATCTGGTAGCAGAGTGACATCTCATTTAGTATCCATCACAATCTGTATGAAAATCCGTCTGATATTCATGTGGCAGAAGCTTTGTTTGTTTATTACGGGTAATCAGGTGTAATCAATACATACACAAGGTTTAAAATCAGAACATACGTAATATTTAATATGAGAGAGACTTTATATTTAACCTCCTTTATTTAGGACACAGTGTTTACAATTTCCACTGACAGCTAAATGAATGTTTCTCTGTGAATATGCATCAGTGCACGGTACTTTGAGGAGCAGCTGGTGTTATGAGAGCGTTAGCTGAATGCTGGATGGGTTGGGGGCATGTCTCTTCTGGGGCCCCCAGAGGGTCTTGCTGTGCCACTGCTCACAGCCATGAGGCCAGATCAATGAAACCAGGATACATCCTTTACCGTCAAACTGGGTCTGAACACAGCTGCCTGTGTGCGCTTGATCAATACTTTCTGATGTTCTATTTATGATATGCTACTTATCAGCTACATGGCCCTAACGTGTGAAGTTACACAAGCATCTGTACCAGAGAGGAGGAGATGAAGAGAGCAGGAGGGTCAGAGCAGGAGGAAGAGGAGGAGATGAAGAGAGCAGGAGGGTCAGAGCAGGAGGAAGAGGAGGAGATGAAGAGACCAGGAGGGTCAGAGCAGGAGGAAGAGGAGGAGATGAAGAGACCAGGAGGGTCAGAGCAGGAGGAAGAGGAGGAGATGAAGAGAGCAGGAGGGTCAGAGCAGGAGGAAGAGGAGGAGATGAAGAGAGCAGGAGGGTCAGAGCAGGAGGAAGAGGAGGAGATGAAGAGACCAGGAGGGTCAGAGCAGGAGGAAGAGGAGGAGATGAAGAGACCAGGAGGGTCAGAGCAGGAGGAAGAGGAGGAGATGAAGAGAGCAGGAGGGTCAGAGCAGGAGGAAGAGGAGGAGATGAAGAGACCAGGAGGGTCAGAGCAGGAGGAAGAGGAGGAGATGAAGAGAGCAGGAGGGTCAGAGCAGGAGGAAGAGGAGGAGATGAAGAGAGCAGGAGGGTCAGAGCAGGAGGAAGAGGAGGAGATGAAGAGAGCAGGAGGGTCAGAGCAGGAGGAAGAGGAGGAGATGAAGAGAGCAGGAGGGTCAGAGCAGGAGGAAGAGGAGGAGATGAAGAGACCAGGAGGGTCAGAGCAGGAGGAAGAGGAGAAGATGAAGACATTAGTGAAGAAGAAGACATGTATGTGAGGAATACAGATGAAGTGTCAGAAAGAGGGCCAGAGGCAGGGATCAGGAGGCAGAGGAGACTCCAGCTGGACCACATGGTATGTTCTTCTTCTCCTCACATCTTCCATCACAGCAGCTCAATCTAGCAGCTCTTAGTATTGACACATATTGAAATGTGTTGCTGCACAGGTCACCTCTAGCTCTCTGAAGAGATGGGTGATGTCATGTGTGTACTTCATTATAACTAAGTACTTTGACTGTACTTACAGTAAACAGAGTTCTAGGGTATCATGAGTACTTTCTGCTGTTTTATACTATATGTTAGTTTGTTAGTCTGAACACCTTGTTTCTCTTGTGCATTAAGAACACTTGTGTTCGGCCATGATTTAACAATAAATAGGTTTTATATACAGTATGACATACCACGTACTGTCGGCCCCTCCCATGCCACCCTGACCTCTTGACCTCTTTGCCTCCCCATGTAAAATGTTCTAGAACCCCCACTGTGCAGGTGTGAGGTGAGACAGGTAACACACTGCTGCTGCTCCGGCAGTGATAACTGGGAGCCTCTTATTAGGAATAGAACAGCGAACATGTCTGCAAACACAAACTCTGTCAGAAGTGTGCAGCTGTTAAAGCCACTGACAGCCGATCCAGCAGCGATCAGGAATCACAAACGGAAGTCCTTTAACTTCACACTCTGAGGAAAGGACGTCTCATTGCTCTGAAAACACATTTCCTTACTCCCTCCCTCTTCTTGTGGAGGAAAGGATGCAAGTGAGGGAAGCATGGACTCAAGTTCAGAGACTTAGGATGGACCTCATATCGTGTTCTTCCAAGCTAGAGTAGAAGTGATATTAACATTGTTTTCCGCTTCGTTCTGATGCCTTAGTTTTACCGGGAAGTGGGCAGGGCAGTCATTTCGCTTGAAAGGGATGCACTCATGTGATTGGCTTAAATGATGCAGACATCTGATTGGCTACAGAAACTCCCATCTTGAATACATTCATTTGTGAATCTAGTGGCGTCAGGGTGTCTCAGAAATCCACTCACAAAAGCATTTTTTATAGAAATGTAACAACATCAAATCTGTTATTGATGCACAACATTTAACACTTTTAAAGTCATGTATTTGTGGATTTATATTGCATTTATTTAAAACAATAACTATTTGTGTGTGGATCAGAAATATATTTGTGAAACTTTTTTTGCATTTTTACAAAACGCTAAGTATTTGAGTTTGCATTGAAACATATTTGTGTGGATGGAGACATGTATGTCTGCTGCCTCAGGAGTCCCCTGGAACAACCAGTCTGAAAGGACTCCTGCTTCAGCTCCACCTCTCTCTGAGCCTCTGGTTTCCAGCAGCAGGTTCTTTGGGTTCCACCATAACAGCACCAAGACCTCCTGGACACAGCTTTGATCAGCTCAGCAGGGGCTCCTCGAGGCGTCCTTCACCCAGAGAAGCTCCTTCAGAGCAGAGTCCGGCTCCTTTGGCTTTCACATTTTAGAATTCATTTTCTAATGGGATTTTTGTTCTAGGATCAGATTCTATTAGATAGGTGAGAAATAATAAAAGCTTTTTTTAAAACATTATTTTGAGTCCCTGAGCAGAAGGAGCAGAGGATCTGTTGAAGACACAGAGAAAGGGTTCACTAATGGAGACCACTTGCTAGAGGGTATCAGATGTAGATGTGAGGGTACCTGCAGTCTGTGTTCTTATAAACATGTGTTCTGTTGTTCATCATCAACTCATGTTGGAACTGAGTCCAGTTTGAATCTCTGAAATATTGTTTCATCTCTTTTAGAGATACACTGTACACTGTATACCAAGGCAGGTTTGCCATCACTTACTGTACGGAGGCTCAGTCATTGGTACACGTTTATTTATAAAGCCATGTTGGGTAAACTCCCATATTGTATCTGCTCTCTGATAACACAGAGAGTTGCAAGCAGCTATTGTCTGAGATCGCATGATGTAGTCTTGTTAGATGTGCCAAGAGCAAGGACTGTCTTAGGGAAGACAGCTTTTATGTGCGCAGCTCCACTTGCTTGGAACAATCTTCAGCAAGAATTGAAACTGAGCAATTTAAAGCTAGGCTAAGTGAAATACTTTTTGATACCATGGGTACTTGTAAATGTCGATAACTATGTAAATGTAGCCTGTAAATATAATGTATGATGTCCTTTATTGTTTTATGTTTGTTTTATGTTTCATGTGGAACCTATTTGCTGCAGATCTCCCTTGAAAAAGAGATCTATGATCTCAAGGGACCAATCTTGTTAAATAAAGGTTTGAAATGAAATGAAAAACATTATCGTGTGTCTTTGACCTCTGTTTGATCTTCTGTCCTCTGCAGACTCTGTCAGGCTGCTGGGGGGGACTGGTCTGTGCTCAGGCAGACTGGAGGTGAACTCTGACCAGTCTAACCCGTCCTGGTCCTCAGTGTGTGAGGCTGACTTTGACCAGCAGGATGCTCAGGTGGTCTGCCGGCAGCTGGGCTGTGGGGCTCCTTCAGTCCTCCAGGGGGCGCTCTATGGAGAAGGGGAGGCTCCAATGTGGACCAAAGAGTTCCAGTGTGGAGGCCATGAGTCTGCTCTCCTGGACTGTAGCTCAGCCTCAGAGAGAAACACCTGCTCACCTGGCACAGCTGTTAGCCTCACCTGCTCAGGTAGAGAGGAGCTGTGATTGGTTCATTCTGTTCTCATCAAACTCACTTTATTCTCTCTCTGATCTCTCTCTTGTTTCTCTTCAGAGCCTGGTGGTGTTAAGCTGGAGGGAGGAGAGAGTCGCTGTGCAGGAGACCTGGAGGTGGAACATCTGGGAGAATGGAGACCAGTGGGGGACTATTACTCTCTCTGGACCCTGAAGGCAGCAGGAGTCGCCTGCAGAGAGCTCGACTGTGGCTCTGCTGTTTCTGTGGGACAGAGAGAGGTGTCCTCATTGAGATCTACATGGTGGATGAGCTCTGACTGTGTTGAGTCTGGATCTGCTCTGAGGGAGTGTGCAGCAGTATCACGTTCCTCTCCCATCATCCTGACTCTCACCTGCTCAGGTAAGCCCATCAGTGACATTGTTTATGACATCATGTCCTCTGTCTCTTTGTTAGTCTCTCTCTCTCTCTGACAAAGAGACAATCCCTCTCTGCTACCTGGACTGTCACAGACTGAAAGCTCTTTGTAATGTCTTCAAAGCGGTGTCTTCAGGCTGTGAGGAGGTTTTCACAGAGACTGTTTTTATTGTTGCTGCTGGGGCAGCTCTCTCTCTCTCTCTCTCTCTCTCTCTCTCCTCTCTCTCTCTCGCTCTCTCCTCTCTCTCTCCTCTCTCTCTCTCTCTCTCTCTCTTCCCTCTCTCTCTCTCTCTCTCTCTCTCAA